GATTAATAATGGTTGGGAGCTGATAATCAAACAATAATAATAACATAGTGTAACTATCACAGCCTTGCCATCGAGATGGAGATGAGAAACACTTATACTGATACTGATTTTATTTAGGGTTTGTGATCGGATTAACAAGACATGTTTTTAACTCGTGAATATGTTACATTTTATTTAGGATTTGAGATCGGATTAACAAAGACTTGTTTTTAACTCGTGAACATGTTACATTTTATTTAGGGTTTGTGATCGGATTAACAAAGACATGTTTTTAACTCGTGAACATGTTACATTTTATTTAGGGTTTGAGATCGGATTAACAAAACTTGTTTTTAACTCGTGAACATGCTACATTTTATTTAGGGTTTGGGATCGGATTAACAAAGACATGTTTTTAACTCGTGAACATGTTACATTTTATTTAGGGGTTGAGATCGGATTAATAAAGACTGGTTTTTAACTCGTGAACATGTTACATTTTATTTAGGGTTTGAAATCAGATTAAAAAAGACTTGTTTTTAATTCGTGAACATGTTACATTTTATTTAGGGTTTGAGATCGGATTAACAAAGACTTGTTTTTAACTCGTGAACATGTTACATTTTATTTAGGGTTTGAGATCGGATTAACAAAGACTGGTTTTTAACTCGTGAACATGCTACATTTTATTTAGGGTTTGTGATTGGATAAACAAAGACTTGTTTTTAACTCGTGAACATGCTACATTCTATTTAGGGTTTGTAATCGGATTAACAAAGACTGGTTTTTAACTCGTGAACATGTTACATTTTATTTAGGGTTTGGGATCAGATTAACAATGACTTGTTTTTAACTCGTGAACATGTTACATTTTATTTAGGGTTTGGGATCAGATTAAAAATGACTTGTTTTTAACTCGTGAACATGTTACATTTTATTTAGGGTTTGAGATCAATTTAACAAAGACTGTTTTTTAACTCGTGAACGTGTTACATTTATAGCCGAACATAATAAACATATTTAATGAGCATATTTCATGGGGAACTGCCTCGTGGTTGAAATGTATTAATCCGTATGTTAAACCTCGAGTGGTTTATGTCGTCGCCGTTATTAATCATCCTATATGACCACTGCAATTTATTATTCGTTATTATATTACGAACTCAACTATTCTGAAGGCTAAGTCATATCAATGATTAAAGACCTACATGTTGTACAGGAAATAGATGGGTAAAACACAATGCACCTTTGTGCCAGCATCCGTAATTGTCGTACCATGGATGGACGCCCTATTTTTAATTTCTGTCATCGACCTGGGCATGTAAAAGTCGTTTGCTTGACTAAACATGGATACTCTAAACGTAACGAGTGTCCACGTACCTCGGAGTAGAGGTAACTGAAAACTGGTGCGAGTCGACAAAGCGGGGGGAGGTATTTTTGCGATTTTCGTGAAAGAGATAAATTGAATATTATTTTAAGAAATTCTACTTTTATCGACGCTAATACAATACACGATAGTATTAGTGAGAGTATTGCTGAGATTAATAATATATTCCATTTCCAGTCCACTGAGACACATGAGTTTATGAAATTATTTCCTTAATGTAATGATAGTCGCAGTGAAGATAGTCATAGTGAATGTAAAATGAGATGTTTGTCTAAGATAAAACCCATTTCATGTAACGAATCAGTCAGTAAACTAATGTAGAGTCGTTGTGCAGGAAGGTAAAGTTACAGTTTTAGTTTTGTTTCAGGCGCTCTGAATTGTGTTCGATGCAAAATTGACTTATTGTGATTTTAACAGAATGTATTTTATAACTAAACTGGAAAAGATAGTATATTCGAGTAACGATAATTAAATTGATAATATTAATGATAATAATACCAGTTCGAGTTATGTTAATTATGATTAATAATATGGTTAATTATTGACACTAATGATGAGCCTAGTAAAACTAGTAGTTGTTGTTAATATTTATCAAGACAAGTGACTATCCATCAGCCTAACCCAAGTATTAAGTGCAAACATGTTTAAATAATCGTATTTTAATTGAAAGCGTTTCTCAGTTTATATTATTAGTGATAAATTAAAGCAACAGATCCCTGAATTAGCAATACAATGGATTCCCCGTTACGAGGTGGAACAACTGCAAATGATTATTTATATAGTACTGAATTGTTGTCAATTTAAGATAGAATAATAGTACTTTCAGCACCCTAATAATCTTATTTGAGATTCCTGCTGTGACTGTCTTTTAGATCCTGATTTCACGAATAAATTTTGTTATAATAGTAGATTTTAGAAATACAAGATTTATTGTAAGCAATGGCGAGTATATATAAGAACATACCAACACAAATCTCCTGGCGAATATTCGGTCCGTGGGCGGATTTAGAGGGGGCCGAGGGGGCCGCTCCTCCTATTTTATACAACCAACAGGGCCTTCGGCCAACTTATCGCCCCCTCCCCATTCCAGAATCCTAAATCCGCCCCTGCGGTCTGGGCTGTGTCCAGATTCACAGTACCTGTTTGATGTCGACAACTGGCATGGCACGACTTGATGCTGATAAAATATCGGACATAACTGGTAAAGTAAACAAAGACACTGATTTCCGCGGAAAATATACCTTATGTTTAGATTAATCCTGTCTTACTGGGAACACTGACAGACTAGTTCCATATATTCAAATTATGAACTTAACCGATAAATCTTGAGTGTTCGTATTCGATGCAATGCAAAGAAGAGACTATTTCAACTACTAGACGATGACATCATAAACACTGTTAATGTTATTCCCAGTAATACAAACATTTCAAATGTTGAAACTGATTTATCGCAATCAGACTTCGTATTTATAATGACGTTAAATAAAGATCGGGTCGAACTTTCTAGAAATGATCAGAAATGGTCATAGAGCTAGTAAACAGTTGTTTACTATATAGTCTTTATAATATTTTTTTAATCGTTAGTTCTATATTCAATCATTTATCGTCTCTATATATACGGTTCATGTATAATCATTACGCAGTATAGTAACTTCATTCTTTGTATTAAGTTTTCATGAGTAGAGACACTTGGGGATGAGACACGTTTAGAGATGGATGGGCACTTGGAGACACTGTTACACTGATTGGACGTAGATTGTGGACGGTAGATGTACGAGCGTGTTATTAGATTATTTGTACCCCAGACCTCTGAGTTCTGTAAATAGCCCATACCCGTCTAAGAATAAAGTATACATCGTATATTGATAACTTTCTGTCTCGTTGTGCTCTGTTGTCGACCTTACCATATTATTGAGACGCGATACGTTATCACCGCTATATAATAGTCTCGTAATATTTCACAGTGCAGCAATATACCTAAGCAATATTTTGGTAAGGAAAAATATAGGCTAGAATTATTGACGAGAAAATAAGATTTATACTATATAATGAAAGCAATATATCAAGTTACTGCATCATCTAAGTAACGGGTCATCTGTTCGAATTGATATCTTTATTTTTTGCAGTTATTTCTAACAAATGATTTATTACCTAAATTATCACCGATATATTTAAAATCAGACATGCTAGTGCCACCAAAATTATACTTGGTATGTATTTTCAAATATTGACTGATAAGATAAAAAGTGTTTGACTTATTGTGAATATCTTAAACAATAATCAAGCAATTCATACCTTTAAGTTAATTCAAAGATTTCATACTGAATACAACGACGATGACAACAACAAGACATTCCTCCTCATGTGCATTTTCTTTAATTTACATTACAGACAAGGAAAAAGTGATAATCAAAGAAACCTTGGAAAGAATTTCCTTATTCCCGGGAATTATGTGGCATCTTCGTGTACTCTTCCCCACGGGGTTTGGGGTAATCAGGGTATTACATAAAATTGTTGATGGCGTCAAAGAAGATTAGCATTTTTACTATAAAACTATAAAGAAAGTATATAATATAATGTAATAAACCTGATTTTTCCCTCTTTCCCTACCTTGAGTCTGCGGGAAATTTGCTTACATATCGTGGAATTGGCTAAGTGAACGAGAAAACTGCTTATATATTGCGGAAGTTACTAAGTCAGCGCGGAAAGCTGCTATATCGGCGCGGAAAAGTTGTTTAGCTGGCAGGAATTTGCTAAGTCGGCGAAAAAACTGCTTACTCATCGCTTAAGTTGTTAAGCCGGTAGGAAACTTGCTTATATAGCAAGATATATCAAACACAAAAACATGTTGATTGTTTATTTGAAAATTATCAAATAATTTTATTGAGAACTCCGTTATAATCACTAACTAAACAATGCCATAGATCAAGTGAATGTTCGATAGTTTCTATATTTTCACAAACAGTACAAAGTTACTAGTTTTCTTGAAGGAAAATAATAATCGAATAGCCTTACATCTATAGAGTCTAATCTCGTGATATTCACCAATAACTGTGTATCATCTAATACTGTCTATTATTATGGCGAATAAATAATAATATTAACAATGAATAACATCTATGCATTGTCAAATCTACAACAACACAAAAAAAGAGTGAACCCTTTACAGTCCGTAGTAATTGTCTTACTTTATGTATGTGTGGAAATTAGAAAACCAGTAATCGGTTTTTTTTTAAATTAGTTGGAGAGAGAACGATAAGTA